TATTCCTTCCATCTTCCTTTGATGATTCTTGTATCATTTAGTATTTTGGCCATAGAATCCTTCAAGAACTCAAGGCTTATCTTTTTCTCTTTTCCAAAAATTTTTTGGTCAGCTGGAGAAATGCTAAGCACGTTCTTCTAGTTGAGTTGTCTAATTCCAGGCCTGGGCACATTTCATTATAAAACTTTGCCTTCTCAAGCTACACTTGGAACGCTTCTGTTCAGCTCCTTCACTTTATAATTTCTTTGGTTTACTTCTCTTCTGACATTATTTTGATCTTTTCTTTCTGTTTTTTTATTTTTTATTTTTTTGGAGGGGTGAGGTAAAGCATTTCTAATGAGGGCTAACTTACATATCCTTAAAAAGTACTAGTTGTCCATTTAAGTCAGCCTTTATAACACAGACTGCCTATAATTTCTTTTTTTGTTTAGTTTTAATGAGCTTTTGCATTCTTCATGTATGATGTCCTTAATGCCATCCCACAAGTCATCTGTTCACTGCACCAAATCTGTTCTTCAATGATCTCTAAATTCAGGTGGGATATATTCAAGGTCATATTTTGACTCTCGTGGACTATAGTTTTATTCAGCTCCAACTTGAACATGTGTACGAGCAACAGATACTTTGTTCTGCATTTGGGCCCCAGTCTTGTTCTCACTGTTCATATTGAACTTCTCTATTATCTCTTTTCATAGATGGAGTCAAGTTGATTCCTGTCTATTTTATCTGGTACAGTCCAGCTATATAGTCACCATTTATGTTATTTTAAAAAGATATTTTAAAAAGAAAAAAGCATATTTGCAAAGGGAATAAATTTTGGAGGTCCCCAAGGGCGGGTGGACAGGGTGGTAAGATAAAGCATCAGACTGGTATTGATGTGGGTGAAGGGGAGGATGGAAGTCCAGATGAGGGAGAAGAAAAGTCAGGAAAGAGGCAATGGGGGTGGAACAGGGGACGGATGGAGGGGGGTGGTTAGGAGTGATTTGAACTGTTGAGTAAAAAGTTGTGGTTTGAATGAAAACCCCCTCCTAATTCACAGTAAAAATTCACCAGAAAGAAAAAAGATATTTGCAATCAATAAATCATTGGTCCTATAAATTTCTATTGTGTGATCTCTGGCATTGTTTTTAATCACCAACATTATTTTCAACTACCAAACTTATTTACAACTTTTACATTCCAAGAACCAATAATTATTCATTCATCTTGATTGCACACTTAATTTTACTCTGCAGAAGTTAGTTAAAAAAAACAATTTTTTTCATCCTTGGCATTATTTGTTGCTGTGCAAATTTGAATAATAGTGGTAAATTTATGGACATTAGACTATCACTGACAGCAGTGCACTTCAGGAGAGATCTTAAAATAATCAATAATTTTGACAATCAATGTGAAGCCACTCCTCTTCACCATGTCATTCCCAGCATAGACAATACAATTGTTCAATTCAAAATAGCCAATACAAGTTTATTTCAGCTCGATATTTATCTTTATGCATTCCACTTGATTTCTTAAAAGGCCCAATTGCTCTGCATTCATACTTCATATATTTCATGTTCCAATTTTTAATGGATGCCTGCAGCTGTTTCTTCTAAGTCGCAGCAAAAGGAAAGTCCTGGAAGCTTTACTCCATTATCATTAAGGTCGACTCTTATTTTGAGAAGTCAGCCCTTCCCCTATCATATTTTAAGTCTTTCATCCTTTGGCATCATATCAGACAATGTTCTCCTGCTATTTATAATGTTTTTACTGACTATGAAAACAGCATTGGGGATGGGATGATGGTGGCCTATCTGATTTCCTCGGGCTTCCTCGTGGCCACCAGGCAGGGATCAGGCATGTCTTCACCTCCACCCTTCTTTACCTACTCTGACACCAACCGCTCTTCCCATAGCACTCTGTGTCTACACTGGGTCTTACAATTCATTCCACTGGCCACAGAGAACTCACACACAAAACTCACCATTATGGGGTTTATTAGAGAAGTTAGTAAGTTACCACAAGTCAGGATCGGTAAACACTAAGGGCCTTTAGCAACACTTTTCTTCAGCCAGCAGCCAAGTGTCTCTTGTCCTCAGCCTTTCGGCACCATGGTCCCTTGGACTCTGCCTTCTAGGACCAGAAAGTCCACCGACCACTCTGCCTCAAAGTTCTTGGTGCTGTTCCTCTGCTCTCACTCACAGTTTCCTCGCCTCTGCCTTTGGTCTTGGGTCCTTTGCTATGTCCCATAGTCTCTGTGCGACAACAGCCAGGGCCTCAGGCCTCTACTCCTTCAGAGAGATCTTCAATGTGCTGTTCCAATGGCCTGGGCCTTCTCTGTGTCTGAGGTGGCTCTTACACAGAAAGCAAGGCTTTGATGGAGGTGTGGTTTTTGTCTTTTAGCAGACAACACTGCCAAGGATACAAAAAGGTGTGACTTGGTTCACACCCTCTCCTAAAATCAGGACTTAATCCCACTCTAATCCTGTGTATTAGCATAGCAAAGCACTCTGTCCAATATTGGATTATAGATGTAGGCATAGAGTCCAGAATTACAATGTATCAGATAAATAATTATGGCTAGAGGGGCCTTATCAACTGACTACTACTCACTGGCCAATTGTTTCTTCCTACCCTATCTCAATCTGGAAGCACCACTGAAACCTGTCTACCATGGGGGAGCCTGCTGGTATTTGAATTACCAGTGGCATCACTTCTAGAATCACAGCAATATGCAAGCTGCCACATTACAGCAAACTGACATTTATCATCTCTGTAATAGACAGTCAAGGTAATTCCCTTCATGACAAAGCTATAATCTTCTATGCTTTTTGTTTTCAGTGGGAAGAAAGAAATTGAGCATTACCCTGAAAATACTTAAATATATATATATCATTCCTTGTGTGCTCCATATGCACAAAATTTAAAAAACAAACAACATACATTTGGTCTAACCTATAATTATTGAACTCATGTCCGAAACCAAAAAAAGAAATGAAAATCAAAATCTCTGAGCAGAAAATCATCTACCAGATTAATAGTCTACACAAATCATGGCTGTGGCGACTGTAAGACCAGAACTAGATGGTACCCAGCTACCACTACAGACCATCCTGGATCCTGACAGAATTGGCGGAAAATGTAGAAAAGAACTCAAATAATTTAAAAATCTAGACTCAATAGATTGGTTGAAACTACAGAGTCCCTAAAGACTATAGGTCTGACATAATCTTTAACCTCAGGCCCAAATTACTGTACATACTCGAGTATAAGCCGAGTTTTTCCGCATTTTTTTAATC